ATGCACATGGCAGGGGACGGGACGGATGCCGCGTCGCAGGAGATGCGCCGGCGTTCGCTTCAATTGCAAGAGCTCTACGGCCACGGCGTCATACCACCATCGTTGCTGACGATTTTGAATCGAAGCGTCCTGGCTATGGAACATTGCTCCTCTGAGGAGGCGGATAAGGAAAGCGTGTGTGGTGACCTTTTTCAGATATTGCTTCCCCTGGTGCTCAAGATTCAATCGAAGCCTATAACGACACGTTTTTTCTTATTTGCGCCTGCTGTGTGGGCCCTCCTTTTGATGGATATGTTGGGGCTTGGCAGAGACTTGTTTCCAGAGCAGAAGGGGCGCCTTCGGACCCAGGGCGCGAACCGCATCAAGGCAATGCGGGCTTTTTTCTGCCATCCACAGACCTCCTCGGACCTGCGGAAAGCGTCGCTGTGTTTACAATTGAGCCACCACGCCGTCAGCATGGCAAGCCAGAGCAAGCCGAAGGTGGACGACCCAAGACCACACTTCGTGAGGATTGCGCAAGGAGACATCCAAAAACACACGGGTGAACATCTGAGGCGATTGTTGCCCTTACTGCGCGTGGACGAGAAGCTCGTTGTTCCCGCATGTTTGACGGCTTTGCTTGTGACGCAAGCGCACATTGTCATGCGGTTTGATATGTATGGGCGCTTTCCAGGGAAGTTGTGGATGATGTCTCGGCGGCACAATCCCATGGGCTACTCCCGAAAGTGCGAGGAATTCTTGCAGGTGCCCGACGACGACTTAGACTTGGGCTACTCTCTGGCGTTGAAGCGGGAGGCCTGGCGCTGCAGGAGCCTCAGCGACGCAGCGATGTGGTTGATGGCAGATGAAGTGCAGGAGGAAATCGACGAAGTGCTCGGTTCCATGTTGGCCAATAGTCTTGACGCGGAACGAAAGATTCATCAGGGCAGGACGCCAGACCATGCGAAGGCGAGGTCGTTGGCGGTAGCATCGCGGAATCAGCTGCTCCACCAGTACCATGTCGAGAGGGAGCGTTTCCTGGCCTGCAGGATGCGGGCGGCCAAACAGGCGTCTTCGTTGAAGAGATGCAATATCTGGTCGCTGGCTCGGCAGAGATGGCCGCACTTAGTCCCTCGGCCAAGGGGCTGTCGTTACGGTGATGATCCGCTGCGGAATGGTGTTCTTTCTTCGACTCTTGTGCACGAGGGCGATAAGGATGCGTTGCGGTCACAAGTCGAGGCGCACACAGCCGACCTGGAAGCGGAAGTCGCAGCCCGACAGGGTGAGGCTGCCCGCTTGGCCCGGCTGGCCAACGCGGCGCACGTTCCTGTGACGCAGCGGGACTGGCTCGAGTGGCTAGACACGAACGACGGTTTTTTTAGGCACTGTCTTCGAGAAGCCCCCGTGGAGAGGCAGCAGTTTAGCCGCAGAGTGACGCCGAGGGAGGGCCTGACGGCCGTTGCCCGCCTGGGACCGAAGATTACGAAGGAACCGCCGCTGTGGGAGCGCAAAATCGCTCACCTACCATCTGGGTATGCGATGCTGCTATGGCAGCGCGGCGCCTCGGAACACAAGGTGTTGTGCTTCTTCTGCTGTCTAAACGGAGAGTGCCGGTACCTGCCATTGCTGAATTCCTGCCCAGGGTGCAATGAGTATTTCCTCCCTGCCCACACCGACTACGTCGCTGGCTTCCTCGGCGCCGCCTGCTTGGCGAAGACGCGCAACGTGCCCCACGACGATGCTGCAGTTCGGGTGTACACGTGCGGGATCGACGCGAAGGTCGCTCCGGATGGTATGGCCATCAAGTGCGTGGCGCCCCTGCTGGGGCACCGCGCCCCCGTGGTTGTCCCGCGCGCGCAGGCAGACGCCGGCGCGGCCGACGCGGGCGACGCAGCAGTGGGCGACGGCTCGGATTGCGAGAGCCTGCTGCTCAAGATGGAGGGAGGGGCAGAGGAGGAGGCCGAGGAACTCGTGCACGACTTAGACGAGCAGGGTGTGGACGACGACGGTGGCGACAAAGAGGGCGCCGACGGCGGCTCTCCTTCAGACAGGGCGCTCCCTGGGACTTGGACGCTGTTCAACAACGGCTACTTCACGCTGTCAGAGAACCCGGTGAAGTACGGGGATATGAAGATGAGCGTTTTGAAGCGGTGGCACGGCGAGGACTTCATGGGGAAACGTGTGCAGAGATCGAAGGCGGCCACGCTCAAACACCACGGCGATGACGCCCTTGCCAGGGACAGGACCGCGCTGGTCTTTCGCGCTTGGATGTTGTACAGGGTCCAGGTTAACAAGTTTGCCGAGTCCACCCCTGCCAGAGCCACCTTCTTCTTCAACGAGCTTGAGAAACTGAAGGCCGACCTGCGGAGGATGGAGGTGCCTGGTGGCGGAACGGGGAACGAGGAGGCAGACGGCAAGATCCGGAAATGGGCCCCCTTGGCCATGACTTAGCAGCGAGGGCTGCGGTTTGGCCTGTAGGCGGGGCTCTCCGAACGTAGACGCGTGGGCGCCCGGAGGAAAACAAGGGCGTGGGGGAAGGGCCTGGGGGCCTCCTTCTGACGCAAGATCGACGCAGGATCGACACATAATCGACACAACATCGACGGATCGAGACAATTTCGAGTCAAAGTCGACAAATCGACTCAACGTCGACACAGCGTCGACTCAAAATCGACGCATCGACACAGGATCGACACAGGATCGACACAAAATCGACACAAGATCGACACAGGATCGACGCAGAATCGACACAGGATCGACACAGGATCGACGCAACCACGGAGCGTCGACGCAAGATCGACACAGGATCGACACAGGATCGACGCAGGTTCGACGCAGGATCGACGCAGGACCGACGCAGGATCGACGCAGACTCGGCGCAGGAACGACGCAAGATCGACGCAACAACGGGGTGTCGACGCAAAATCGACACAGGGTCGACACAGGATCGACTTAGGATCGTCACAGTATCGGGCGCTAGTCTCGAGTATCTAGATGCCCGAATTCGGTATGCTACCAGAACTGGGTTCGAACAGATATTTGTACTCTGCCATGTTTGAAGAGATTTTGATGGCCTTCATGAGGTAACTCGGGCTGCTGATAAGCTACAAAGCTGTATGGTGGAGCTGTCGACAGGAACTAAATCACCAGAAGCGCTAGTCTCAAGTATCTAGATGCCCGACCTCGGTCTGCCTCCTGAGTTGCAACGCAGGATCGACACAGGATCGACGCAGGATCGTCGCACCTGCAGGCGGGCCTACATCCGACGTCGTCATTTGTTCAAAACGTTTGCCCCTGAAGGTCTGGAGGCCTTCCCTGGGACCGAATTTTCGTACTGAGTCCTTTCTTTTTGACGGTCCCAGGGCCCTGTGAGGGCCCCCAAAGGCCGATAATGACGAACAGCCTCCCGTCATGATGTTTTCACGACGCCAGGATGTGTGGCGTGGTAACACGCTGCCGCGCTTTGCGTCTCAAGCCAGAGACTTTCGAAGCCTGAGATTATCGCTCGATCTTGCGCCACCGGCCGCCATGGTGAATGAAGGACCGCCGACCCCGGAGGCGGTCAATGCAGCGATGGAGGATGTGCCCACAACGGGCCCCCTGGCGAGCAGCTACCGGCGCACCTTGCGGGAGATGAAAAAGAAAGGCGCGGATGTGGACCCCGATGGCCCTGTGCATTTCAAGCTCTGCGGGGCCTTGAAGAAGCTGGGGCTCACCAAAATTGACATGCGCACGTTCAGAGAGTGGGCCGACAGAGTGACGCAGTTCGTCAAAGAAGAACGGGAGGTGTGGCTGGTGCAGAAAGAGGCTTTCCCGGATGTGGGGAAGGACAAAAAAGTCAGCTTCTGGCTTCTCGGGCCCAGCGAGGCCCAGGGGGTCGACCACGACAGGGTGTGGGTGTTGGATGCTCACGCCCCCACCGGGCCGTACATGCGCGGGGCCATCAGGCGCACGATCGGTTGGAAAGCTACAAAGGACAGGGGCTCGAAGAAACCGCGCCTCGAGGATGGCGACGCCCATGCTTCGGGGCAGAGCTGCGGCGCCGAAGTCGCCGCAGGGTCCGGCCCAGCGGCGGCCCCGCAGGGCATGGCACCGGCCCCGGCGGCTCTGGCAGCGGCTTCGTCGGGCATGGCGCCGGGGGGGGCGGAGGCGGCACCCGAGCGGAAGCGGAGGAAGACTCTGGCCGAGCACGTCAGCAGCGAGGACAACGACGACGTGTCCATCAAGACCCTCCGGTTGGACTGCCAGAAGGCTTGCGAGGCCGGCCGCTTCTACGTGCCAGGAGAGACGGACGCGGCCCATTTCCGGGCGAAGATGTACGTTGGCTACTTGAAAAAACAGAAGGCCGAGCACATGAAGAGGGATTCGGAGAAATCGTTTGCTGATGAGCTGTCCGTTGAGTCTAGGTATTTCTTTCAATACCTCGCCGATTGGATCTTGAAGGGGAAGACGCACGAGGTGATCGGCCACTTCGCGCCGCTCTTCCGCGAGGCCAAGGAGCTGCGCCCCGCCCTGGTCCCGAAGATTGCGCAGGCGATCTGCAGCATCGGCGAAGTGGACCTCCTGGGGCAGTTTTCGGGCCCAGAGAGCGAGCTCGAGAAGTACGGCCTTCCGCCGAAGCGCATTTCTGCCCTTGCTGGGAACCCGTTCCTGGCTGGCTTCCGGAAGGCCCGGTTCGAGGCGCAATTCGCCCTGGCGAAGACAGCCAGCTCGTGGCGCGGCGCGGCGCCGGGCCCGGCTGCGGAGCAGCCCGGCGGCGAGCAGCCAGGTTCTGCACGAGCGAAGTGGGCGCGGAAAGAATTGGCACAATTCCCAACAGCGGATTTGGTTCATTTTGAACAGGACTGGCTGTCCACGCCGCCGCGGCCTGCGTTCTTTCGAGAAAGAATGCCGCCTGCCCAACAGCGGCCGCTGTTGGTTTGGGACAACATTTGTTGTTGGGCATTGTGCCCGTCCTTTCCGCGCCCAGTTCGGGCGCCCGCGCAGGCGGCGAGCAGCCGGGCGGCGAGCAACCCGACGGCGATCAGCCCGGCGGCGTGCAGCCCGGCGGCGAGCAGCCGGGCGGCGAGCAGCCAGGCGGCGAGCGGCCCGGCGGCGAGCAGCCAGGCGGCGAGCAGCCAGGCGGCGAGCAACCAGGCTCTAGGCCCCCTAGGTGGGGTCGGACTAGACGGGGACGAAGGAGCGCGCCGCATCGCCGATGCATCGCCGATGCGGCTCGATGTGGAGCCCGACGTGCTTCGCGTCGACGTCGCCGATTCATCGCTGACGTCGAAGACGCATCGTTGGCGCATCGCCGACGCATCGCCGATGCATCGCCGATGCGTCGGCGATGTGTCGTCGACGCGCCGCCGCCCTCCGACCCCACCTACTCCGACCCCATCTAGGAGGCCTCTACAGGCGGCGAGCAGCCAGGCGGCGAGAGCGACGGCTCGGCCGCTTTGCAGGCGGGCAACGCGGACAGCAGGGCCAGGCTGGAGCTGATCATCTCGCTGCTCGGCAACGCGCAGGCGGACGAGCAGCAGAAGAAGGAGCTGGAGTTCGCGAAGGCCATGATGACGAATTCGCCCGGGCCCAGGCTGGCGCATCTCATGAAAATGGCCCTGGACGAGTTCAGTTTGCTCGAGGCGTGGTTCCCCGGGGGCCCGGACCAGGTGGTTGGGCTGCTGCTAAAAGGCGTTCGGTACAAGGATTGCGCAATCCAGAACGTGGTCAACGCCATCCAGCACGTGGTCAAGGGCGGCGCGCAGGAATCGTTGGTGAATCCCGTGGTTCGTGGCTTGGGGGCTCTGCACGTCCGCCTGAACGAGCTCCAAGCGAAGGGGCCCAAGGACATGGCGGAGCCAGGGATGGGGTCCCTGGACAACCACGAGTGCCGGGATCGATCCCAGGAGCAGCGCTCGAAGTTCATGGCAAGCATCTTCGCGGAGGTGGCTTCCCTCCGGCTCGGCGCTGTTGGCTTCACCAGCAAGGCGCGGGATTACACGGGCATCCCGTCGAAGATGTTGCAGGAGGTGCACGCCATGGCGAGCTCCGCGGTGCCGCTCGTCACGCCTGACATGCCGGCCCACGCGCTCATGTGGTGTCACCGCCGGGTGGTCGAGGAGCTGGGGGCCAAGAAGAAGTTGCAGCAGGAGCTGGCCAACGAGACGGCGGGCGAGCCCCAGACCCCCTCGAGTAATGAAAAAATCACGACGGGAGGTTTTTCACAATTTTTGGCCTTTGGGGGCCCTTACCGGCCCTCGGGACCGCCAAAAAACGACTCAGGACGAAATGCCGGTCCCAGGGAATGGGTCGAGACCTCGGGGGGTCGACGTCATGAAAAAATCATGACGTCGGGGGTCTGGGGCCGAAGCAGGGGGCGACCGAGGCGGCGAAGCCAGACGGGGCGCCGGCGACGGGCGGCCCGGGCGTTGATCGGCGGCGCGCTGGGGTGGGGTGGGGGAAGGGGGGAGCTTCTGAGAAGGCGCGGTGCTTCTTTGAAACCTTTCGAGTGCTTAGGGCTCCCCAGAAACACCCTGCCTTCTAAGAAGCCCCCCCCCCCCTTCCCCCCACCCCCCTCCGCGCGCCGCCGAGTTGAGGCGCATGCGCCCCGGTCGGGCGCGACCGGGGGCGGCGCGACAGCTGACAGGGCGGCGGCAGTCGCGCAGCCAGCGGTCGCCCCGAAGAAACACCAGACGGAGCCGGAGGTCATTGCTGTGGGCGACATCGTGATGATCACGAAGTCCCCGAAGGAGCCTCTGTTGTGGCTGAACAAGAAGGCGCGCGTGGTGGAGCTCATCCCGGGCCAGGGCCAGGCGAGCATCCTCATGCTGGAGGGGAAGAAGAAGGACGAGAAGACGACGAGGCTGATTGATAATCTGAAAAAGGTGGCCGCGGAGACCCCGGCAGCGGGAGGCGGCGGGGCCGGCGCTGCCGAGGCGGGCGCGTCCGAACCGTTTGCCGACGCAGCTTCCGAGGCGACGGCGGTGTTCGGCGCGGAGCCGCCTTTCGGAGTGGACGGGGAGTCCTGAGCGAGGATTCTGGGCGGCGCGCCGAGGAGTGCATTGGGGGGGGGGGCGGCGTCTCAGAAGGCAGGGTGCTATTTAAAAACCGGGAAGCCCTGCCTTGTAGGAAGCATTCTGCCTTTTCAGAAGCCCCCCCCCTCCCCCTACCTTGTCGGCGCGCCGCCGAAAATAGAGGATTGCGCATTGGCCCCTGGTGCGCGAGGTAGCGCTGGCGCCTATGGCGCGCCAGCAGTCCCGTGGCCTCGAGAGCGGGCGCCCCGTGGCAGTGTTCGCAGCGGATGTGCGGCGCAAAGGATCTCGGCTTGAGCTGTGCTTGGCGCGGTTGCCCCGCAGAAAAAACACCGAGGCCGGCGGGGTCCGGCGGGCGATGGCGGAATGAATTCAGGCGGCGGCCGGCGGAAGCAAGCTCGTGTTCCGATCAACCGGAAGCCAGCGGAAGTAATTGAAATCATATCCAGCGGCTGTCTTCACGACAGCCGTTTTTGGCAGCCGCGGGGCAGCTGCCCTCCCCGCCGAGAATTTTCTGGGGGTCGCTTCCGTTGGCGGGCGACTTGGCTGTCGGTGGGCATAGTTCGTCCCCCAGAGTTTCGTCCGCGTTCGCAATGCAGCTTTGACGTTGTACCATCCTGGGGGCGTGAGGGAAGGTGGGCACTCCTGGGGTCAACTGGTGCGACGAACCATCCTGGGGGCCATAATTTCGGGCATGCTCGCAGGACAGAGGCCTCGACGAGGCCAAGGGGCGCCCCATTCGGCACCCGCGGTGCGGCGGCGGAGATGAAGTCGATGGGCCGAGGAAGATTCCCCAAACAATGCTTGCATTCTAAATAAGTTGGATCCGCCGATCTACACCACGTTGCTTACACAGCGTAGCTTGCACCACGTAGCTTGCGCCGCGCAGTTTGCGCCGCGTAATTAGCTTGCGCCACGTGGATTGCGCCGTGTAACTCAAACAGCGTAGCTTACACCGCGTAACGTTGGTAACTTCTTTTGGGGGGACACATTGGCCGCCAACGTGCCGTATCCAATGTGCTGAAACCACCGCCGCCCCGGCCAGGGCAATCCTGGGCCGAGCACTTCGGTTCGCTCGGCTGGACCTGTGTCAAAGGCGATGTAGCACAGGTGGACGTTCTTGTTGGTGATGTCGATGGTCGCGACACACATCCTCTTCTGATTCACCGACCTGCTGATTCACGCCAACGTTGTTGGAACGTTCATCGTGACGTTCGTCGGGCGGGACGTCATGCACCCCCGCGCCCCTTTCCATGGCTCGGCGTGGGGGCGGAAAGCCTTCCAAAGCCAGCTGCTGGCCCCATGCGTGTGGCCGCGCAGCCACGGCCACGGCCACGGCCCCGGCCGCGGCCACGGCCACGCAGGCACCTCGCAAATGCCTTTCCAGGGCTGGCCGCAGGCACCTCCCCAGTGCCTTTCCTGGGCAGCCCGCGGGCACTGCGCAAGTGCCTTGCCCAGGCGCCCGCAGGCACCTCCAAAGTGCCTTTTCCTGGGTCGCTCATTGCGCGGGAGCTCCCATGTTCTCGGTCACGTGCTGTTTGCTTTGCTTACATTAATCACGCCGCTGGCGTGCATTGAGTGCAGACACACAAATGCCACGCCTGCAGCCACATGAGGACTTCGAATACCTGCTGCTTCGGAACCCCTTGGCGGGGCAAAGGTATCGACATTCATTTCGCACCAAGATCTGTTCTGAGGACGTGGCAAGCTTGCATCTAAGACGACTACGGCGAACTACCGTCGCCCCCTGCCTTTTAGAAGCGATGGTGTGGCCGAGCGTTGCGGCCCGAGTTCGGCCAAGCTATCGGGCCGTGCGTTCCCCTGGCCGTTGTGGAAGCCCTCCGGGGAACACTTGGGAGAGGAAGGGGACCGTCGAAAGGCAGAGCAAGAGGAAACCCCCACAATTTTCAACACATATGAAATAACTGTTGGTTTTCGTTTTTTTTTTTTTTTTTTGTGGGGGGGGTTATCCTGGAGAGCGTCTGTGGCCGTTCGGGGCCCACCTCGGGCCGTCATGGAGGCGTCTTGAGCTATCTCGGTATCTCTTGGGGGCGCTCTGGGCGTTTTGGAGGCGCCTTGGGTCCTTCAGTGGGGCCATATTGGCAGTCTTGGAGGCCGCCTGGGACTGCCTTGGGGCTCTTTTGGTGCTTTCTTGGGGCCGCTCTTGGGCCGTCCTGGGGCCATTTTGGAGGCCTCTCGGGCGTTTTTGGGGCAATCTGTCTAGATGGCCTCTGGGGCTGTCTTGGGCCGTCGGGGAGTATCGCAAAGTATGCGAACCCCCAAATCGTTGAATAACAGTGCGCCAGGGGGTGGCGTGAGGGGGGCAGCCGTCTAAGAAGGCAGGGGGTATTTACGAAGGCAGGTGTTTTTTTCGAAACTGGCAGGGTTTTAGGAAGGTTTCTGAGAAGCCTCGGGACATTTGTGAGAAGGGCGGTGCCTTTTATGAAGTCTTTGGCTTTTTAAGAAGGCCATCCCCGCCCGCCACCCCCTCGGCGCGCCACCGAATATATAGGAAAGAGCGCGACTGGCATCGCAACTTGTCGGGAGCGAAAGGGCGCGGAACGCTCTCGTTCGAAAGTTCGAGGACCTACCCGCGCCGAGCTCGCGGGGCGCCGCCGATTCGGGTTCGACGCAACGTCGACGGACGTTCGACACAGCATCGACGCACGAGGGCGGCGACTGGCTGTGGGAAGGTCCCCCGAGATGATGGCGAATACTTGGATGGGGGCTTGCAACGTGGGGTCAGCACCGGTGACGCATCCTGTTTCTTCTGTGGTCCTCCTCGTGCTGTTCCTCTTCCTCCTCTTCCTCCTCTTCCTCCTCCTCGTCCTCTTCCTCCTCCTCCTTCTCCTCCTCCTCCTCCTCCCTCCTCTTCCGTAGCCATTTCGGCTCAAGAGCTACCGAGCCTGCCCTGGCTCCTTTTTTTTTGTTGGTCACTTTGGTTTTTCTTTTGGTCTGGTGGTCCCTTTTTTTGGTGGGCTGCGCGCGCCGCCGCCGCGCGGGACCCGTCGGGATGGTGCGCCTGCTGTTGCATAGTGCTCTGCTCTCTCTTAGTGCTCCTCTCCCACCTGGTGTGTGGGCGGCTGCTGCGGGCAAGTCTTCGAATGCGAGCTTCTTGTTCTTTGTGTTTCTTTTTTTTTTTTCTTTTCTTTTATTTTATTTTCTTTTTTATTTTTTTTTTGGCGTCCTTTTTCTTATTTGTTGTATAACTTGTTTTTTTATTTTTTTCCTCCTTTTGTTGTTTTTCGTTTTTTTTTCTTTCATTTATTTTTTCTTTCTTTTTTTTTTTTTTTTTTCTTCTTTTTTTTTAGTTTGTTTTGTTTTTTTTTTTTTCTTATCTGTTTTTTTTCGCTGTTTTCTCCTTTTGAGCTTTTCTCTTTTTTTCTTTTTTTTGTTTGGTCTGTCGCTCCTGGGTGGCCGCCTCGGCTGCGGGGGCCACGCTCACTGGAGCTCAACGTCGCCGCCGCGAGCGGGATTCTTGGTACGCGATTTCCCATAGTGGACCTGGGAAGGCTTGTGGAAGTGGATGTGGCTGACAGGGCTGACGTCAAGCGCATGGCCCAAGGCAAAGCCATTCATCGTATTCTTGATACTGAGGGCCTACTTCATGGAGTCGCCCCAGCTGCTTCTGGCAAGCTTGCTGCTCATCATGCGCTCCGACGAGGTGTGCTCTCCCCTGACGGCCATGCGGCCGCACGGGCGGCGCTGGAGCTGGCGGACGCCGCCAAGCATCGTCACCAGGCCCTTCATGGATCTGTTGTGCGTCGGGATGAGGCTCACGCTGGACATCATGACCGTTCTGGACGGCAGGACCCCTCGGGAGCTCATGATCGCCCTGGCCAACGCGTCCATGCTGCTGCTTCTCGCCCACGCTGGGCAGATGTACCTTCTGAAGGTGACGACGCTGACGTTCACGACAGACCCCCGCCTCGAGCGGGAGAGGAAGACCAGACTGCGGCACCTGTTCTTCACCAGGGTGCTCCAGCGGATGCTAGCGAACGTCCTCGCCGAGCCCCGCCCCATGCGGGAAGAAGGGTTGCCGACGTCAAGGCGGCAGCCACCAGCGATGCAGTTGTGCAGACGGAGGCGATGTCGCACCCGATCGACATGCTCATCCCGTACATTGCCCAACTCATTGTCTCATTGGATGCGATTCTTCACAGGCTGGCTACTCCCTTCATGACCGCAGACCCCACCACAACCTACACTTACACCGGCCGCTCCGCTGACTACACCGACGACTACGCCTACGCCGCCTGCTCCTCGCACGCCGACTTCTTCATGGATTTCTCCACGGAGCTGTCGTCCTTCGTGCATGATCTGGACTTCGAGTCTGAGCTCTGCATGTTCGAAGAGAGTGCTGCACGTGAATGGCCTGGTGGGCCTGAGAATGCCGCTCACGATCGTGATTGCTGCGCTGCTGCTCATCCTGTTCGTGATGCTGACGCTGTTCATCCACTGTCTGCAGTTCGGGATGGTGCGGATGATGATGCTGGCGTTCGTGCTCTGCCCGCTCTTGCTGCCGCTGGTGTCGGTCGCCGCCATGTCAAAGCTGACGATTGTGTTCCGCTTCGGAGCCCTGCTGTGGATCGGGCTGATGCTGGTGTTCCTGATCCTCGTCCCCCTGATGCTTACGGTTCCACTGCTACTGAGCGTGGCGCCTTTGGGAGTGCTTCGCGCGCTTCCGAGGCTCGTCCT